TACAACAGAGTACTAATACTGACAAAAAATATACAGTGTACTTATACTACAGTTTTCTAATACTGACAGAATATACAGTGTACTTACTGACAGAATATATACAGTGTACTAAAACTGATGCACTTACACTAGAGTGTATTAATACAGAAATAATATATTCATTGTACTAATATTATTAGAATATATACAGTGTACTTATACTACAATGTATTAATAAGGACAGAATATATACAGTGTACAACACTGACAGAATATATACCGTGTACTTATATTGACAGAATATATACAGTGTATTAATATTGACAGAATATATACAGTGTACTTATACTACAGTGTACTAATACTGACAGAAATATAAAATGTACTAATACTGAATTAATTTATACAGTATACTTATACTGAAAGACAATATACTTTTTTTAATACTGACAGAATATTTACAATGTACTAATACTGACACAATATATACAGTGCTCTTGTACTAACAGTATATATACATTGTACTAATACTGACAGAATGTATACAGTGTATTAATACTGACAGAATATATACAGTGTACTAATAATGAATTTATTTAGTGTACTTATACTGGCAGACTATATACAGTGTACTAATATGGACAAAATATATACTGTGTTTTTGTACTAACAGTATATGTACAGTGTACTAATACTGACAGAATATATACAGTGTACTAATACTGATAGAATATATTATATACATTGTACCAATACTGACAGAATATATATGGTGTACTTACACTACAGTGTAATAAATCTGAGAGAACACACAGTCAATATACTGACCGAATATATACAGTGTACTAATACTGACCAAATATATACAGTGTTCTAATACTGACAGGATATATACAGTGTACTAATACTGAGAGAATATATTATATACATTGTACCAATACTGACAGAATATATATGGTGTACTTACACTACAGTGTATTAAATCTGAGAGAACACACAGTCCATATACTGACAGAATATATACAGTGTACTAATACTGAGATAATACAGACAGTATACTAATAATGACAGAATATATACAGTGTAATTGTACTTTTACTGACAGAACATATACTGTATACAGTGTACTTGTACTGACAAAATATTTACATTGTACTAATACTGACAGAATAAATACAGTGTACTAAATACTGACAGTATATTGTACTAATAGTGACAGAATATATACAGTGTACTTATACTGACCATCAATATATAGTGTAATAATACTGGCAGAATTAATACAGTGCAAACACTGACATATGGGTGGCATTGTGGCTCAGTTGGTAGAGTTGCCACCTATCAGCGAGAAGGTCGCCAGAATGAGTCCCTGCTGGGGACTGTTCTGTGTGGAGTGGGGTTAGCCTAGCGCTACATTAATGCTGGCAGTTGTCAACAGGGTAGCGAAGCACTACGTTTGTATTGCACGCAGTTGTCGCAGTTTGGAGTCTATATGAGTTGCTACAATCCACTCCTCGTCTGGAATTGGCTGAACTGTGTGGGGGATGGGGGATTTGGTTGGTAGGGCTCTTGGTTCGTGGGATGTCCTCCTTGAATAATGGTAAGGTAACCCTAGATTGTATTACAGTGTTTACCTATTTATAAGGGTAAACATCAACATACATAACCAGAAGTCTGACAAAGACTTGGCTAAACTTGTCTGTTTCTGACTCTGCTGTTAACTCACTGCAGCTAACAACATTTTGGCTCAGCAGCAATACTGTACTATGCTATATACAAAGTACTATAATAGGGTGGGAGCATGTGCATTTATACAAACAACCATTGTAACAAAGTAACTGTTCACTTTTTATACACCTCTTGAACAGCACACATATTATGGTGTTGTCTCATACACATAAGACGTCATAAGACGGAGTGTGGAGTACACTTTTCATAACTCCAGTTCCAAGATCAAGGTCACAAATCAAGATCAAAAGGTAAAACAAGGGCTTTCCTTGTCCAGGCCATTTCTATATATGTATTGCTGTATAATAATAGTTTGTGTATAATGTGCTGTATGCAGTACATTTGTAAACGCTGTAATGCAGCACATTGTATCTGCCCAGAGCGGTCTGTGATTAACATCACTGCTGTGTACATTCCACTCAGTGCAAACCTTAAGGAGACTCTGCAAACTCTTTACCATTCCATCAGTGATCCGCAAAGTAAATACTCAAGGGAAGGGCGTTGTTATTGTTGTTGGAAACCTCAACCAGGACAATATGAGAACTATCCCAAGTCAAAGTCAGAGTCAAAAGTTTCTTTATTTGTCATTTGCACCACATATGGTACATGTAGTGGAACAAAATTGTGTACACAGGGTCCCAGTTACATCCAACAAAAGTATAAATTGTAAAGAACAACAGTAATAAGATCTAAGTTATGAACTAAGAAATACGCTAAGCTAAAAATACTCTAATCACTAGTAGTACAAAAACAATACACCGAACAACAGCAGCACGAACATGAGTCTGTGTGAGCAGATGAATCCTCACAGATTTTCATCAGTATGTGGACTTTGCTACATGGGGAAAAAAAGACATTGCAGTAAGTTTCAAGGATTCAAGGTTTTTTATTTGTCATACACACCACATGTGGTACATGTGGTAGAACACAATTATGTACACAGGGCCCCAGTTACATCCAACAAAAATATTAAAATGTAAAAGAAAAACAGTAGTAGTAGTAGATATCCGAATGCATGCTCAATAATCCAGGTAGAAAAATCCAAAAAAATTAAATCTTATCCTCTGGACATTCAAAAAACAAAACAAAGCAAAACAACAACAACAAAAATGTAGAAACGTTTGTCTTTCATCCAAAAGACTTCCTCAGTCTGAGGTGCTGTATGCAGCTCAGTCTTATAAATAGCACCTTCTGAGTGGATCAACCAGTTTTGCTGCTGACAACCAAAACCAGCTGATCACATGATCAAGAAGGACCATCAACCTAACGATGGATCATTAGCACACTGATGGCTGTTTACTATTCACAGGGGGCTGAGTGATACTAGGGGTTGAATGAGTATATCATTTTTAAACTCGACATTAACATAATAAAACCCGAGTAGCACTCGAGTATTTGATGACGTCATAGATCTCAAGATACAAAAATAAATAAATAAATCAGCAAAAAAAGGTAATTATTTACAAAAAAAAAAAGACCAACAAAACATTGGGAGCGTATATTATGCTCCTACCATTTATCATACTGCAAATAAGTCACAGGAAAAACAAAACTATTAGTTATTATTATTAAACTGCAAACGTGAAGAAACATGCAGCATGTCAAAAACGAAACTTAAACCGAAATTGGTTCTGGCTTGGTGGATTGGACCCGGTGTTACACCATACTCTGTGACCTGCAACAGTGCAACACCGCCCCCTACGGTCATACAGTGGTCACATAATATGACGTCATTACGAATACCCGACGTTACATTTTTAACCTCGATAGAGGTCCTAGCAATCGATGTGTAGATTACTCGAGTACTCTGTTAATGTCCTAAGTGATACTAGCAATAACAGCATTGTAAGAGGGGGACAGTTGAACCCGGAGGCCTCCACCCCTGTTTAATGATGGACGATTTCTTTTCACAAAGATGGCCTCCTTTACTCCTCTCTCAAACCATCGTTCCTCTCTATCCAGGATGTGAACATCTTCATCCCTGAAAGAGTGACCGCTGGCCTGGAGATGAGTGTAGACCGCAGAGTCCTGGCCTGATGATGTTGATCTTCTGAGCTGGGCCATCCTTTTGGCCAGTGGCTGTTTAGTTTCCCCGATGTAAGACTGATCACAGCCCTCCTGACACTGAACAGCATACACAACATTACTCTGTTTGTGCCGGGGGACTGGATCTTTGGGATGAACCAGTCTTTGCCGTAATGTATTTTGGGGTTTAAAAGCCACTGGGACGTTGTGTTTAGAAAATAAACGTCTCAGTTTCTCTGATACTCCCTCAACATACGGAATGACCACTGGTCTGGGTCTGGATTCCTTCTTTTCACCTGATGGCTGACTGGAGTCCTGTTTGGGTTTCTTCACTGCTTTCAGGAAGGCCCAGTTAGGATATCCACATTGCTCTAGAGCCTGTCTTGTGTGGGATTTCTCCTTCTGCCTGGCTCCTGAGTTAGTGGGAAAGCTGTTTGCTCTGTGGTAGAGTCCTGATGACTCCTAACTTGTGCTCCAAAGGGTGATGGGAGTCAAACTGCAAATACTGGTCTGTGTGGGTGGGTTTGCGGTACACCTCAGTTTGCAAATGTCCTCTATCAGAGACTGAGACCTCACAGTCCAAGAAAGTCAACCTGCCATTTTTTGCATCTTCTCGTGTGAACTTGATGTAGTAGTAGTAGATCTAAGATATGAACTAAGAAAAACATTAACTAAAAATACACTAAGCTCTAGTAGCATAAAAACAATACATCGAACAGCAGCATGAACTGTAGCATCAAGCAGGCTTTAGAGCAGCACCCAGCCTCATCTCTGCTACTCAGATCTTCTCTTTGTAAGTTTTTTTCCAGCATATAAGCCTCTGCTGATCACGGAAAAGCCAGTAAAGAATCATCAAAGACCAGACTTTCTGGTCCAAGGGGGTTGCAAGAGCACTACAGGA